CTGAAGAAGGTTGGAGAACAATGTTGTGGTTATCAGGTGCCATAGAGTCCATTCTGACGCATAGTGATGCCACGTATAGTAGAACAAACACTGTCCCATCCTGAGCCAGCCTCACAATTGTTGTTATATTGGCGTCAATTGTTGCTGCCATTGTCTTGATTTAGCTCCTTGGTGGTCTTCCTCTTTTTTCACTGATCATCCACTTTAAACCTCAAACCAAAAATATCATCCCCTGAAGTCTTCTTAAAACCAAACAGTAGTTTAGCTTACTGACAAAGAATATCTGCTTTAAGCATTGTGGTCTTTTAACATCTATCTCTGAGAGGGGCTTCAGAAAGTTCATGGAAAATGGAGTAAGAAGATAATGGAATTTCTCCACAAACTTCTAACACCCCCTGATACATGGAATCAAACACACAATAGCAACTTGAAAGATTAGACAGAAACTCTAAGATTCAGTAAGCTCATGTTAATGGTGAAGGAAAACTTGGAAAAGGAAGGGCAGAACGGTTGCACAATCGAAGACTATCACCAATACCCCTGAATTGTACCTGCACACCAACAGTTTAGTCGGTATGTGTTCTGCTGTGTGTCTTCTCAACAACAGCAACAACAAAACTAAAATAAATGATCAAAAAGAAAAAGATAGATGGAGAGAATGTAATTTGTAAATGGTAATGACATTGCCAGGTCAAAGATCTGTCTTAAAAAGTATATATGTTAAAAAGTCACTTCGTTCTGGAAAAATACTGTAATCCCTAAAGTGGAGTGGTAAATACTAGGTAAATGAGAAGTCTTTGTTTTCCCCACCTCATTTCTTCATTATGATGCTCCAGAGCAAGACTGAAGGTTTCATCCCTTGTCACAACAGTTCTACCTTAATGAATTGTAGCCTGGAATCTCATCGACTCAGGATTGAAAAACGCTGAATTGAACAGCAACACAAAGCCTGGTGAATTGTTCTGCAGCGTCTTCTTGGCCTGTGCCTACAAACTCACAGCTGTCAGGTCTCAGCTGTACAGCATTAATTCTGCCTCCCCTGGTACAGGCCAGGAAAGCCTTTCTCCTCATGAAACCCAGACTCTGATCCACAGGCACTGTGTTTAGCATGCTGTATCACACTTTGTAAAGTCATGGGAATTTACTTTGGAAATAAACTTTTTAAAATGTCAAAGAAAAAAAAAAAGTATATATGTTATTTTGTTTTAAGATAATTTTAATTTAAAAAACTTCTAGATTGTTGGAGGGTAGTTTATGCTCTCTCCTCATTCTGCCCAAGGAAATGTAACTACTTCTGTGATTGTTTTGTAGATGCCTGACGTGGCCGTGTTCAACAACAGTGACCCTACGTTGATATTTATTTTTCTAATGCTTTTTGCCACTGCCACACTTTTCTTTGCTTTCATGGCCAGCACGTTCTTCACAAAAGGTGAGTCCTGAGCCTATTTTCTGTCAGGAGTGGCTTTCTCTTGTACTTTAGCTCTTCCCATCACCTGCAGCATTAACTATGATCCCTCCAGAGCCACCGGAATGTAGTTTCAGCAGTAGAAGAATTCTGTTTGCCATTAAAAGACTGCTGAAACATCTTAGTATGTGTATGTTTCTATAAAGTGTGTGCAAGGTTGTATTCTTTCACCATACTTATTCAATCTGTACGCTGAGCAAATCATCAGAGAAGCTGGATTATATGACGAACTCAGCATCAGGACTGGAGGAAGACTCATTAACAACTTGCTATATACAGATGATGCACCCTTGCTTGCTGAAAGT